CAAAGTGCGATGTTAGTGTCAGCAAACTATGCCACCAACCATACTTTAAGCATAAACTTGCTCCCTGTGGAGTAGCTAGCGCGTTCTCCCTGGTTCAGACTAGTTGCACGCTGGAGTGTGATAAAAAGTCATTTGGAAAACAACGCAGATTGATACCACACCGCCTACCTGAAAAAAATGTTTCAGAGTGTTAATTATATTGTAAAGCTGTAACTTTCAGCAAGCTAAGAACAAGCAGGGCATGACGGTCAGTTCGGTCTAATCGTTGCAAAAGAGGGCAAAGGCAAACATTATGCAAGACAACTAGCTGTATGCAAAGGATATGTCGAAGTCAGCGTAGGACAAGCAATTTTCAGATTAAATTCAGAATCAAAACGTTTTTTTCAAAAATAACTGACCCTCGGTATCACATCAAGTCATGGTTAAGTAAACTAGAGGTGATTTAGTTGCGCACCTATTTCCAGGCAAACACTGAATTGCTGTGCATTTTCGAAAGGATATTTTCTCGGTGCGTGTAAGTCAGAAACGTCCAAAGATGCCACTGCGGGCATCTGTTGTTCGTTTTCAAAATCTGCAATCTGAAAGTTTTGACATCTATACATTTAATAGTAATAATCCAGTTGATTTTATGATTTTAGACTCAAGCAACTGACCTTTTAGTAAATTTCCTCTTAGGACTCGATTTCGCCATTCATTTCTTAGATTTATAGTACTTCACAGTGGTCTCCAAAATAATGTCACGAATGCAAGCATATTCTGTGCGAAAAAGAAAGTTTTTCTGTCGAGCTTATCGAGGCGTGCAACGATAAATTGCTTCCCAACAACATGAAGAAAATACTACAGAAATAGAAATAACAAAGAAGATGGGATAAAAAAATGTGTACGGCTGTCGAAAAGAAGTTTCACTTCCCATATTGAGGGTAAATGGTATGTCAAAATCTTAGAGGCGGCTGCTATTGACAATTTTTTATGCGCAAAGTTTCTTGTGCCGCACCTCCCGTCGAACAGATGGCGTTACATTAGCGCCACGTCCTTGCTGCCATGATCCGCCGAGCATTTAACCGCTGCCAAATTACGTTTACAACGAGACGTCAATAAAAACGACCACCATCTGACAAAGGCATGCAAAGGACGGCTATCCTGTTAGGAAACTACGTCATTTTGTTGATAAAAACAAACTATCGGGAAATATCAAAGCATAAGAAGGTCGACACGAGACTACAAAAACCGGGATCCAGGGATGGGTAAAGAGTATTAAGAAGAATGTCGGGAGCAGTAACGCTGGGAATGCTCTTATAATTTGATTTTGATTTAATGGCGAATATCCGAAATACTTAGCTTTCTTGACGATAATTCAGAAATACGCAGGGCCGGAATTTATTACGTGTCTCCCATCTCCTGAAAGAACACGGAAGTAGGAACGATCCTCGTAAATACCACGGTTGGCCTTAATCTGAATTTCAGGACGTTAAACTATTCCCATGTGCTAACGTTCAAACGTTAACCGTGGCTCTAAACTTAGGCTTCACCCTACCCTTAATTTTGACCTTCACCGTATCTTAATCTTTATTTCCTGAAAGCCACATGTGTAATGACCGATTCTTGTTACTAGATTCTGCTGAATAGTCATATACGTCATCTCTACAACAAGCACTACTGCTGTTTCATTTTGTTTTACTAACAGTATCTCTTGCTGGGTTTAAATTGATAAAATTTAAGTCACCATAGGAACCTTTATTCTGGGCGAAATAATTATAATACTTCTAGATGTATTGCGCTCAGCCTCCATACTTCTGTGTGTCCTCAAAAACCCGGAATTTATCGATCTTTGAAAGATTGCATGTCCATAACGAAATACTGTTGGGTCCTTTTACTATTTTGACTGGAATATTTGTCTTTGGGACCGTTTTTACCGCCTACGTGATCATGTGCATACAGACACAGATCATGTCTCAGAATAAGGATCAAAACAGACTTAGGTTTTATCAGGACTTAAAAACATCAGTCTTAAGGACAAAAATAAGAAAATATTTGCAGGCTAGATACTAAATTATCTTTAGATCTTTCCGGGGAAAATATGCCGGCCCCTTTACAAACATCAAAATTATTTACATAATATAACATGGCCCGATGAGAATCTATTGAAAGCCTACGTATGTTCGCCAAGTAATCTTCTGAATTCTCTGATAGGAATTTTTGCACCTTTTTAAATTCCTTATAGATATCGGTGAAATTATTTCACTGAAATCTAGCCTTTTTGTTTCCGAAGTTACTATGAGACTATGTTTTTATGTGCATTGGTAAAAGTACGGTAGTTACGTGGTCACAATTTCAAAAAGAGGGTGAAAAGAAGTGATTAGTGCTGATAATGGGGAAACATGTATGTTATATAAGTTGGCTTTTTTACAGTGTGTAGTATTCACGAGCCATCGGAAAGAGGCACATTTAAGAGCTGGCGTCCTCACGTGACTGAATGATATGAGGATTATGCTACAGCACAATTATTAATTCAACTCCTTTTCAGTATCTTTTTCTCATTCAAAAAAGTTTCCGAATATTGAACCATAGTTCATAAAATAGCATATCTACAGATACGATCCTTAAGGGGTTAAAATGCTTAACAAACGGTGAACAATAAATGATCATTTCTGATGATGAGGATTTTCTTATCATGCTTAATGGAATTCTAAATAATCGTCCAAAATGCAGAGTAAAACTTAACGTGGAAAACCTATGAAAAGGCTTCCAAACATTCTAAAACATTCATACCGAAAGATGAACTGAAGGCAGCATAGGAGAGAACTGAAAAAACTGTCTTGCATCAGTAAGTCACGATCTGCGGCAAGAGTTCTAACCAGCGAAAGAGTCCTAATTTAGGTGAAAATATGGATTTTTATTGTTTTTCCGGCTGGTGACCTTCAGTCTGAAAAGTTTTATGAAAGTAGTTTTCGTTCTAAACCGATCCATCTGCTCGATCGATAAGAGTAAGCAAATCGGTGCCAGAAGGGAACTGAGAAATTTATTACTTATAACTGGTTATGCCATCAGCTCACTATTTTTACAATCATTTTCTTATTAACCGGTTGAATATGCTATGCTGAATCGATCTGTCTATCCACAGAAAAAGGAAGTTTGTGACCAATGGTCTCGCAGAACATGTTGAACGTGCTAACATTGGCTGGAACTAAATACATATCAAGGGACATATATTCCATAATTTATTTAAGTTTAAAACCACACCCTTACGTGTTCGGACAGCGGTATGTTGATTACATTGACAGTTACATAAACCCAAAATGCATCTTCCTTACTTACTTGTACTTGTTACGACTGTGATCATGCCTGATCTAGCCTGCCTCAATTACGTCTGAGACGGTAGCTCTTCACGTATGACGGTACGTGGCAGTGGACCTGGAAAACTCCACCCATTCTCTTCTCCACTGATGGGGATCGAAAGTCGAAGGTCCAAGATCCACTTCCATGACCTGACTAACGGTGTCGAGCCAAGTTTTGAGTTACCCATCTCTTCGGCGCATCCAGGTGGGCTGCGGCGCCGGATCGAGGGCAGCGCAGCAAAGCTGGTTGGACGGACAACGGAGAACGTGTCAAAACCACCTTAATCGCCTTTTCTTGGATAGCCTGCGATATTCTCGCGATACTGTCGCAGCGAGTTGAGGCTGTCTCATTGGAGCTGAAGGATAGTCCTCAAACAGTGGTGATCAAATAACTTAACTCTTCGCTCATCTTCAATGCGTAAAGCCCAGTGTTCACATCTATAGAGGAAGACTGAACGGGCGAATGTGCGATACGCACGGGTGTTCGTAGCGATGGAGATATCGCGTCGGATCCATAGGCGCTTTTCGAGGATTGAAAAAACCCGGCGAGCAACATCAATTCAGGAGATAATGTTGTCTTTACTCTGGCTTTTCGGTAACAGCCTCGCCGCGAAGTATTTAAAGCTCTCTACTTCTTCAAGTTGACGGCCATGAATTCTCAGGGGTGCCTTATCTTGGTCAGGAATGCAGCTGGTGAATAAATCGGTATTTCCGGTATTTATAAAAAAGCTATCCGACGCAGGGATTTCATTCAGCCGTGACACTACAAAGCTTGAAGCTAGAAAAGGGATATCATCGACATAGTCGAGATCAGTCAGCTGGCGTTCGGGTGCGAGCTTAACACCGTTCTTTTCACGTGAGGCCTTCCCAAGAATCCAGTCAATGACGTAGTTGAATAGAATGGGCGTCACGACGCAGTCCTTTTGAATGCCAGACCGAGTAGCCAACTCTTCTGTGACGTTGTTATGGAGCAGAACACGCGCAGTGGTGGAAAGGTAGTATGCCTTGATCGTAGTTATGATGTTGGTCGGTACTCCATCTAGTTCCGTTATTCATCGCAGGAATTCACGATGGACTAAATCGAATGCAGCGGCAAAGTCGACGAAGCAAACGGCCGTCGGTTGCTGGTAGCCATAGCGGAAATCCAGAAGGTAACTCAGTGTGAGTATCTGGTCTACGCATCCAAACCCAGTTCGGAACCGGCTTGTCTGGGCCGCGTCCTAGGGTCACGTACAGACTGGAATCGTCTAAGACGTACCGCAGGGGGTTAAGTAAGTCAAACCCTTGCAACTATGATCTTCAGACAATGGTTACTTAGTAGAGAAGAAGTCAGTGGAGGCCAAAATAGAAGGAATAATTTATTGTGTACACAGAGAAACGAAGAATTAAAGGAAAGAAATTGACTACAGA